ACCGCCGGGGAAAGCCTTATGGTGGGGCCCCGCCCATCCCCGGTCCGGACAAAGGGATATTGGGGGTTAGGCGGGAGAAGCCAAGGCCCCACCTTTTTGCATCCGGGGGACAACGGACCGGCCCATTTTCGGCGGGAATTTTGGGTGTTTTAAACCGGGAGGAATGTTGGGTTGTGAAGCGGCCCAGTTTGTAATGTGAAGTGTGTATGTGCGAGTCGAACGGGTGGGTGTCGTCTCGTGCCTCTCGAGGTTTCGTAATCGTAATCAAGAGTTCAAGACGAGACCGCCGGAGGGCGGAGGGTCTCGTGGGTCGAGAGAGTACGGTAAACCGGTGTCTCTGGGGGGAGGCGGGGGCCCTGGAGGGTATCCATGCGGGGGGGAGATGGGGTCCCATGGCCCGCCGCAGGCGCCGATTTTTTCGGGACTTTTTTTCTTTTTTGCGCGATTTTTTACTTGTTTCATGGGAATTCGCTGTACTTGCGGCCATGCTATCACGCCTTGCGACAGCCTGTCGGCGCTGCTGACCGTGCCATGCTGCACAATTGACCACCTGCATAGCTCGCGGCCTTAGTATCAAGCATTCAGTGACGACCTGATCGTACGGTCAGTAGGAAGGTGTCCTTCTATCGTGTGCACGCTTCTGACGCAATGCGCGTCACAAACTGCCTCGGCGACTGGCTGCTGGCACTCTCGAGGCTATGCCTACACAGCCTCGCGCGCATGGGCAGTCAAGAGGGACCATGCACTTTCTCAGGACAGCGCCAGTGCCTCTCTCTTGGACCGGCAAACGTGGTGGTCTCGTGTCACCAATGTGGGACCAGTGCGGCATCGCGCCATCGACAGCTCTGAACTGCGCCTCACCACTGACCGGGAAGGCCGCCAAGTGGGCCAGCACCGGTCACACATTGTGGCAGCAGTCAGCAGTTGTCTGATAGCTAGAGCAGCAGCGTCAGGGTCGCAGGGTCGGATCGTGTCAAGCCTCTCGCCCGGCCGGCCACGTGCAGACGTCGGCCTGTCTGCTGTCTGGAGTGATCTGTCGGCGGTCAGTACGACCGATCAGGTCGGAGTTTTCTGATGGTTGGAGGGTCTATCTGTATGTACTCCTCGAGATCTCTCCAAATCTGCCCTCTGATTAACCTAGCTTAATCGGGAAGTCGGTGCTAGTAGAGACTAGTAGAGCCGGGGCCCCGTTTCCGCACTGCGGCGCGGCGCACGGTGCCTCCGGGGGGCCCCGCCTCCCCCCAGAGACCGGTGTGCGTCCGGGGCCCGGTGGAGCGGGCCCCGCCCCCGGCCGCCCCGCCTTCGGTGACTTCTTCGCACTTCGGTGCGTGTCCTCGGTTCTTCGACCAAACTCCCCCCCTCTACGAGAGAACCGGTAACGTATCTCGAGAGATCAAAACAAACGCGCCCGGCCCATGCGTTCATGTGTAGAAGAGACGCGTTTTCAGGCGCTCGTGCACATCGCATGCGGCGGCGTCGCTGCTGACCGAGGCCGTGTCGGAGAAGCTTTCGCGCTCCTCCTTGAGCCCCCACATCTCCGCAGCGAGGTGAGCGTTGTAGTTTGGGGCAACCTTGGAGACGATCTTCTTGCAGCGCTGGAAGAGGTGGCAGAGCTGGCTCGTGAAGCGCTGCAGGTCGTCGGAGGAGAGGTTGGGGTCGTTGCGCAGCACAGAGTACAGGTTGCCGCGAGACGTCCCCTTCATGCCGTGGTGAGGGGTCAAGTGGAAGCTGAAGGTCGACTCGTCCACCACCACAGTGTCGACCACCGTGAGAGGAGGCTGGTTGCCCATCTGCTGGCCGGGCACGCGCCCATTCTCGTTCGCAAAGAAGCGCGCGCCGCCGCCCTTCTGCTCCACGATGAAGACGATCTGAGGCTGGTACCCCTGCTCAATCGCGTGGCACGCCCGCTCAATCGCGTGTATCTCGACCTCGTGCACCTCCTCGAACTGGTTGTGCGCCACGCCGTCGCGATAGCAGATGATGCGCTGGGGAGGTATGCCGTTGTACCGGTAGAAGGCCTTCAGCTGCTCGCGCACCATGCTCTGCATGTCGTCTACCGGGATGCACTCCTGCCGGCCAGTCATTGCCCGCACCTCGGTGTAGTGGGAAGAGAAGAATTTGTCCATCGTGCCGACCAGCGCGCCGTAGGAGGGCCTGCTCGAGCCGGGCGCGGCGTGGTGGACATCGCAGCCGAGCAGCAACGTCGGGCACTCCCGCAGCAGCTGCAAGCCGGGCTGCAAGCCGCCGCCGGGCACCTCGCACAGCGGGTAGTAATTTGTGCCGAGCGCCTTGAGGTTGAGCTTGTCCAGCAGGTTGCTCCAGTAGCCCTGTAGCCGGAAGTCGGGTCTAAGAGAGCGCAAGAGAAGCGGCGAGGAGCGGAGCGCTTTCACCGGCGGAGGCGACTTGAACTTGTTCACCTTGCAGTGCTGCACCGCGATGCCGATGCGCGAGCAGAGCGCCTTGTTGGTCGCCCGGATGGGGTGCTGCCACGCCTACGTGAGACAAAAGGGAGGGACGGTGGGAGTCTCGTGCGTTGGGGCGCCGCGGACAAGAAGGGGCGCGCGTTATTGTTCTGGTCAGGGATAATCGCCAGCAGCAAGACATTGTCCCCCAGCTCGCCAAAGGCGCGCGCCAGCTCCTGCTCCA